GCTGCCGCGCACCGGCCCCTTCCCCGGGGAACGGGGGGGTCCCCCGAGCCGGGCCCCTGGCCCCTGGGGCCAGGCGATGAGCAGCGTCCTGGGGTCGCCGGGCCCTTGTTGCGCTCGGGTGGCCAGGGGGGCATCAGGGCCCTTTCTCCCGTCCTGGCTCATCCCCTGCGAACACAGCAAGAGGGAGCAGTGATGTTTGTTTTTTTTTTCCCTTCTCTCAGCCGAGGATGCCAAGCTGCTCTCCGAGCCTCTCAGCCACCCCGACTTCTTCAATGTGAAGGAGCTCTTCTCCCTGAAAGATCTCTTTGACGCCCGGGTGCACTTGGGGCACAAAAAGGGATGTCGGCATAGGTGAGTGACCCTGTTTTGTGATCCAACACTTGTTGACATCAGGAGTGTTTCCCTAGGCCCCATCAGCCTTTGGGGGCTGCACCAGACCAGTCGGGGGCTGGAGCTGCCCACGCAGACCCGCGTTTCTGCCTGGGCATGGTTACTGCCCTGCAAAAGTACAGGGACCCCACTCAGCGTGGACACTGAGCCGGGTGTCAGCCCTGCAGCCCCCCGAGCCCGGCTGGGACAGGCGCTGAGCACAGGGGCTCTCTGCAGAGAGCTCCTCTGGTACCATCTGGGAGCTGAGGGGTGAGAAGGTTTCTGTGTTCAGAAACACTGCTCGACGCCCCCCCGTCCCCGCGTCCCCTTGTGTCGCCCTCCCTCCGTCCCTGCAGGTTCATGGAGCCCTACATCTTTGGCTGCCGCCTGGATCAGGACATCATCGACTTGGACCAGACGATGCAGCACCTCCAGCTGGCCCTCAACTTCACCGCCCACATCGCCTACCGCAAAGGCATCATCCTCTTCATCAGCCGCAAGCGCCAGTTCTGCCACCTGGTCGAGAGCACGGCGCGGGAGTGCGGGGAGTATGCCCACACCCGCTACTGGCAGGGCGGCCTATTCACCAACGCCCACATCCAGTTCGGGTCCGGCGTCCGCCTGCCCGACCTCATCATCTTCCTCAGCAGCCTCAACAACGTCTTTGAGCCCCACGTGGCCATCCGGGATGCCGCCAAGATGAACATCCCCACGGTGGGGGTGGTGGACACGAACTGCAACCCCTGCTTGATCACCTACCCCATCCCCGGGAACGATGACAGTCCCACCGCCATGGAGCTCTACTGCAAGCTCTTCAAGATGACCATCATCCGCGCCAAGGACAAGAGGCGGCAGAGCGAGATCTTCGACGAGCTGCGGAGCAAAGCGGAGGGCAATTAGAGCCCTAGGGACAGGCTCGGCCGTGCCCAGCAGCGTGGTGATGGGCCGCCCTGCTCTGCTCGCGCGGGCGCTGCAGGACTGACCCTGCACCCAGAGCACCCACCAGCTTTCGGCAAAGCTGGGCTGGTTGTGGGAGGCTCTGCCCCAGCGCAGAGAGCCCGCGGCGGTCACAGCTGCGATGGGTCTCTAGCTCAAAAAAAAATTGTCCGGGCGATGCAAGGGGAGACAGAGCCAGGCCAGACCCAGCTCCTGTCCTGGCGTTTGTCCCTGTGCGAGGAGGCACCTCTGTCCTGTGGCCTTCCTATTCCCGAGCTTGTCATCTCACCTGAAACCACTTTTATCTCGCGCCTCTTCCTGACAGGACAAATAAAGGGCCCTGCGATCCTTTTTCTGTCTTTCCTTGTGAAATGGGAAGGTACGGGGGTGTCTCTGGCAAACACTGGTGTTCACGGGGTGAGGGGTGAAGGGTGTTCCCAGCCTGGGGACCCGCAGGGCATTGCAGGCTGGGAGCAGGAGGGGTGTGAGCCTGGCCGGTGCATGGCAGGGTTGGAGGGTCCCCGCTTTGTCCCGGTGTCCGACCTCTGCCACGGGGAGCGGGTGACTCCAGGGCGCAGCCGAGAAAAGGGAAATCCAGTTTCTAACGTGCCTCGTGTCTCTGTGGGAGGGCGTAGGGCAGTCCTGCAGCGCTGGGGGTCAGGCCCAGCGTGGGGACGAGGCTGGGCCGGGGGTCCCCGACCCTGTCCCTGTCCCTGTCCCCTGTCCTGGCCCCGCGTCCTCGGCCCTGGCCCCGCCCGCTCCCTGCTCTGCGTCCTCCCGCCCAGCAGAGGGCGCCCGCGGGAGGGAACGTGCTACGCGTATTGACCCCGCGCAGCTTCCGTCCGCCCGCCCTATATAAGCGGAAGGCGGGAGCTCCGCCGCCTTTTCGGCGGGGCGCTCGGCCGGGGGGGCGG